TCAAAAAACCTTATTTTTCATTAGTGTACGAACAATTATTTTGCCCACTGTATATACATATACATATATATCAACCGTCAGAATTAGGAAAAATGAGGCTGGTATCTTTATACTTTAAATATATCTCAAACTGAAAGAAACCATCAGACAATCATTTGCAACAACAATCATAGAAACAGCAAAGTTTTGGCAGAGAGAAAGAATCCTGTTGAGAGATCATCAAAACTGCCAAACCAAGCTTGAGAAGATATTTGAAGAATGGTGTCTTCTAAAAAAGAAGTGCTAACACCACTAACTCAACTAACAAGAGAATTGGATTTTGTCTCCAGCTTCAAAGAACTTTTTGATGTCGCTCATGTCGATGCTTTGACTATGACACTATTACATAAAGACAAGGATTTCTTGATTGACCAGCAAAAAAAAGGTAGAAGGGGGTCAATGGCTGAAGTAGATGAAGTGCATAGTGATCAAATAAAACAGTTAGTAGCTTCTACAGCTTAACTGAAGATAATGAAAAGATCAAAACTGGGGACAATGTGAATGAGGGGATGTTGGAGGCATTACAATCCAGACACTAAAAAAAAGGTAGGGGCAAAAAACTGTTACTCCAGCATCTGAGCTGTTTGTTATATGACACGACCAGTTCAAATGGTGTTTGAAACACTGGTGCCTGTGTCTTCCTAGAGCAAAAGCTTGAGAAAGAACTCTTATTACTGGCTTGCTGACATCACATTATGGAACTGATAATTGATTTTCCAAGTGTCTATGGGAGCTACATCTTCTCAAGAGGTTCACTCTTCGAACGCTTCCAAGAACACTGGGGCTCCATAGACACACCCAAGTATGAACCAGGGATTACAGCTGATGGAGTGGCAAGCCTAGTGTAAGACAAAGCAAGGCACCATCAATTATGCCTAAAAGCATTTTAAACAGAATCAGCAGAGAGATGATTATAAAGAATTCTAGGAACTTGTGATTATCTTTCTTGGTGCTGCTTATAGTGACCTGGTGCTGCTTATAGTGACTTGCTGATGCTTGTCAACATTACGCAAGTTTTCTAATCACTTGTGGTGTCACAAAAACTTAGCATTGTCAAAGCTTCAACTTTTTTTGACAGTCAACTCATCTTGTCAACTAAGAGACTGATGGTGAGTGTCATGTATAATGAAGACAATCAAGATCAGAATCATTGCAAAAGAATCACTGTTGCTCTTGATTCATTCAATGGCAAGAACTTGAAAAATATTGTCACAGCAAAGTCAATGACACTGTTTCAAATGATGGAACTTCTAGACTGATTTCTCATGGTTGATCAGGACTTTTGGGAGACAACTACAAGTAGGCAGCAGAAATTGTCTAGTCTCTAAAAGTTGATAATGACTAGGCAGAATGTGGAGTGGCACTGATTCAGGAATACAGTGGGCTAATAACCCAAGATGAAACACAGATGCAATTCCTGCTACAAGTTTCAAGGATCATTGCAGAATACACCCTGATAGCATCAGAGCTGTAAAAACAATAAATTTTGAGTTTGTTGGACTTTGTTAGACTGATACTACAAACACTGTCATTGAACAAATAGTTCCCTATTAATGTGTTCAAAAATAAATACTATGTTGTTGAAAATAAATTAAAATATACTTAAAATTTGTTAAATTTTTATAGTTTTTGTTACTTTTGAGGCACCTGAGCTACCCCTACACATAAGAATTTATTGCTCAAACTTTTTATGAAGTGTTTCTATATTATGAGGAATAGATTAGGGGGTAAGACATTAAAAAATAAAATTAAAAAAATTATTTTTAAGCACCACCTTAGTGTTCATTATTTTTTCACAGCTAGACGGTTACAACTCCCTCTACTATGGAATTTCTTATGAAAAGACTTTATTCTCTAATTAGTCTATTTAATCTAATCTATCTAATCCTCTATATGAAAAGACCATTTAAAAAATAAATAGGGACTAAATAGGGAAAACATGTAAGGAGTGCTGCTACTAGTCGATGTAGCCGTTTGGGTCAGGGCAGCAATCATTTTCTTCATTAATCTTAATTTTTTTTCCTTTTTCCGAACAAACTGTATGGAAATAAGTAAAACAAGGAATGCACAAAATTTGTTGACTTTTAAGGGATGTTTTATTGTCAATCAAACATCCTCAAAGTCATGATTTGGAGAGCAATATTCATGAACAGGATTGAAGGTATCTACTCTTTGACTCTAGGAACCATGGTGAATGAACCAAAGCATGTCAAGTTGTTGTCAGACAAGTTCAAACTTTATATGGAAGTTGACTGCAATACCTTCATGCAATATATATATACAGACCTTGGCAGGAATGGTAGGCAGTCGCCCATGCCTGAAACAATTCTGTTTTCAAGGGGCAAAGCAAAGCCTGTGTAAAATATATAAAGTATTTTTTAAACACAAAAAAATATTAATTTTACTTTATACTAATTTTAATAATGTTTTTTAGGTCTAATTGTATTTTACTTACAATACAATATTGTTTTATCATTATGCAGTTATGCAACACTATGCACAGGCTTGGTCGGGAAGCAGGAGCGATTGCTCACAAATACTGACCACGGAAATTATATTTAGTTGCGAAAAACTGGCCAGGTTTTTTGGTTGTTTTGAGAACATTTAGGTTTATGTACGAAACAAAAAATTTTTGTTTTACGGACATACATGGAAACATAAAAAACTTCAATGTTTTTAAAAACATCTTGGTGCATGGTAATAAAAAGAATATTCGCGAACACTAAAAACCTTAAGAAACTAATTCTATTGGTTCAAAAAAGACGCTGACTAAGAGAAATAAAGTTCTAGAGAAAATGCTTGAGAAATTGTATTCACAATTTGTTATGTTTTGAGGTTTCTAGCATAAATTGTTTTAAAAATATATAATCAATATTATGGCTCATTCTCGGAGCCACATCTGCAAAGCCGTAAATCTTATAAACTATTATTATTTGTTTACAAAAATAAATGTTTTATAATATATATTTTTTAAATTGTCAAAACTTTGAAAGTTTATTATAAATTATAGATTTTATTAGTATATTCTTATTTTTTATTTAAAAAGTATGTATTTTTTATGTAAATGTAATTTTGTGTATCTGTTTTTTATCGTAATGTAATCTTTTAAAGCAATTTTCATGATTTAATTTGTAAACAAAGACTTACAAAAATAATTACGTTTTCAATGAAGTTATTATAATCATTAAAGTTAATAAAACTAATTATGTAACAAACATATAAGAAGTTTCTGGTTACTAAACACAAACAATGCATACAAAGTAACTCACGGATGAACAAGGACCGCGCCTGAGATCACGACAGAACACAAATATATAAAGCAAGTTATTAGATATAAAGTAAAGTTCCTAGATATTGGTTTACTAACTCTAATTATTTTCGCTTAAGTTGATTTCTTAAAAACTCGTTATACTTTTTTCTGTTTTAAATACTAATTAAAATTAAAAAGCCTACTCACTAAATATCATCAGCGATATTGTGAAGCAGTTTCGCTTCCTCGTCATAAAGTATTTTTAACCTTTTTAGTTGATATCTATCTAGTTAATTTAATTTCTATAGTCATTCAATGATTTAATTATTTCATTTGTATATCTTACTAATAAGAATTGTTTCAAACATTTTAAACTTTTTAAACTACGTGAAACATAAAATAGGTATTATAAAATTATCATTTTTATTTATAGAATAATTTAGCTTAGACAAAACTAAAACTAGCAAACTTTGTTAAATAAAAATTTATTTCCTTTTTAAACAATCATAAGATGTTACTTTATATAAAAAACGTTGCTTAATTTTACTAAAAAAAATTAAAAGAGAGCGATGTTTTGAAAATATTTGTTCTAAATGTAATTTATTTTACATTAAGTTTTTTTGCGTTAAAAGATATTTTATTTTCTTAATTTTTTTTTTCTTTTTGTTATTGTTTCTCATCGGTCCAATTAATCTTTTGCGGATTTTTTTTTGCTTTTTGAAATGTTCTCAAAATGACTAAAAAATCTGGCCAGCTTTTCGCAACTAAATATTATTTCTGTGGTCAGCAATCGAGAGCGATCACTCCCGCTTTCCCGACCAAGCCTGTATGTAACTATGCAACAATAATAATAAAAAAAGATTGCAATGTAACAAATTTCCACTTTTGTTCTGTTCCTGGTTTGAATGCGTGTTTTCCTTACTTGTTAGGTTTAGAACAACATGGTGGTTGCTTGTAGTAAATGACCGGGGCTGGTTTTTGACTCTGGCTAAGGCTGGTTTTATGGACAGGACTGCATAAACATTGGTGTACACTGACTTATTTTTATTTATCATATTAATATGCACCAATATTTATACTGCCCCAGCCATAAACCCGGCTTTAGCCCAGGTCAAATACCAGCCCCATTTGTTTACTAGTTGCTTGCAGCCACTATAAATATTTATTCTTATACTTCTGCTGTTGTTATTCCTTATTTTATTAAGAAAAACGATTTCTCAAAATGTCAAGAAAACAGGGTCATTTCAGGAAATTAGACTCAATATCAAAATTGTCATATCTTGTCAACTGCTTGACATTTTTAGCTGAAATTTTGCATGCAATGTTTTCATATAAATAGGTTAAAGTGTCAAAACATGAACAAAAAGGAAGACACATGATTCAACGGACTGGGTGATTTGATGTGGAATTAACCATATATCAAATAAAAACAACTTTAGATAATAAATTACAGTTTAGCTGTTTTAAGTAATATTACTTTTATTTTTTATTACTTTTTTTTCATACTTTTATAAGCACATTTCTGTCAACACATATTTTTAGTGTGTGACAAAGACACTCTATTTTATACAACAATTTTAATATTGTTAAATCTCTTGTTTATACATTTATTAGTCAAACATTTTGATTAGTCAAATATTTTTATTAGTCAAACATTTTTTGTCACTAACCATTGTTATCTTGCTTATTCCATATAAAATAAGATTAATACCTCTTTATAGGAATGAATCTCATCATTAAATAACATAACGATATAAGAATTTTCATCATTTGATCTAAAAAAACAAAATAAACAATTTTGAAAAGAAAAATACATATGTAGTTGTAGAAAAGTAAATAAAACAAACAAGTTTTTATTTGTATAAATATTTTTTTTTATATAATTTATTTAAAATTTTATTATTTTAATTTTGTTTAGTATTAATTTATTAAAATCTCTGAATTTTTGCAAAGTTATGACTTCTTCATTACTTCAGCATTATCTTATTTAATATTATCTTCTATATTTAACATGGAACCGATAGTCACAAAGCACTCATTGATTGACTATGCAAATCAATGCCTATGATTTCCCTGTACAAATCCCATGGCATACCTACCTTAAAGAACTCTTTTTAATTTGTTCCGTGGTTGATTTTTTATGGCTTTTGTTCTCAAATTGGTTTTAAAAATTTTCATTATAGTTCAAAGGGAAAAAGTCCACAAAACCATTTTTCACATGCTTCACAGTAAATGTATTCTAAACAATTATGTCTGACATCACCAGAAAATCTTTTTTTGATACAGGTTTACTGTATATTCTGACTTAAATGAAACACAGATTTTTCCATTTCTTTTTAACAAACCACAAAACTGATGTATGGTGACAATACCTGCCAGTTAGCAAAGTGCACACAATTAAGAGTTGCTCACAACCTGAGCCACCAATACGTCAGTAACATAGACTAAGTAATAGCAATTAAATATTTGATAATCTAGGCAACTTAAGTTGACAATTTAAGTACACTTCACTAATAAACCATTAAAACAAATGAGGAAACTAATAAAATTTGATAGTGTTTGAAAAACTACAAAAATGCAACTTAATAGACTAGTAAATTTTTTTTTTAATTAAGAATGTTTTTGATTTGATTTTATTATCATTTTATGTTTTATCATTGTGCTTTATTTTATTTCCTTTATTTTCCTGTTTGTTTTTTTTAGTTTTGATTGACTTATTTTGGGAAAGGCAGCGCAAGTTTATATACATTTTAGTGAGGTAAATACTAATTTATTATTTGCAGAATGCAATATCTTTTAGCAGTTGAATTCAGTATTTTTTTAGTTGAATCTTTATTTCCCAAAAACGGTAGTTTAAAATAAGACAAGGATCTTTTGATTTTGGGTTGTGGTGGAGTATTTGAGTTAATCTTGTTTAAATAGGAGTTGAATATTTTTGAAATTAGCCAAGATGGATACCTATCTCCAAAAAAACATTACATGTTTTTTTGTTTATGTCAGACATTTAGTACTATTAATTTTAAACGTTCTATTGATTAAGCATTTGATAAGACTGTGCAAAAATGGAGTAAAACTATAAAAATTAGTGAGATGGCCAGAATAGATTTTTTGATGAAAAACAGTATTGGTAACTGAAGAATTAATTTTGTGTAAGGTTTACCTCTTGTTCCATAGTAAAAGAAATAGAATTATGTCTACTTGGTTCCAATAGATGATACAATAGGCCTAAAGTTTTTGGTTGTCTCAAAAGAATTTAATTTATGCATCTTTGGAAGTCCATAGATACGAGCAGGATGGAATCTAGACGGATAAATTTTGTTATACGTAGAATCATTAAAAAAACCTTTTGCTTTAAGTTTCCTTAAAAATTTTTGAAGTTGAACTTCTCTACTTATGATAACATCTTTCTTAAGTTGTTTGAATTTTGTTTTACCATTAATAATTTTATAAGTACCATTTACATATATTTCTTTACCTAATATTATGGCGCCATTACCTTTATCAGGTTTTAAAATAATAATATTGCATTACTAGAAAGTTTTTTAGTATTCCATGTTTTTTTTAGAGTTTCCCGAGAAGGATATAAATTATAAATATAAGAATAGAAGGAAAGCTCTAAGTTTCCTTGCATATTCATTATTTTCTAATTTTGTTTGAAGAAAATGGTTCATTTGTTCAAAAGAAGAAAAGGTATCAGTAGGTCTAAGATATTTTAGTAGAATTGAAAACTGTAAATCATTTTTAAGGATGTCTAAATCATCATCAGAGTGTTTGTAAGAGAATAGTTATGATATGTGAAACATTTAAAACATACAAACAAGATTTGTGTGACCAGTTGTTTATTGTTTTAACTTTTTTTTGTGTATTTTTATAATTTTCTTTTTTTCTTTTTGTGCGTTCTACTTTAATGCTTTAGTTAAAATAAACCAATTCAACAATGAGAGATGTGCTTTTAAGTAATCATGTAAAATATTAATTTCTTTACACAAATGCAATTTTTCTTTGTTTCGCTTTTGCAATGCACACCTTAGTAATCTTTTTCTTATAAAACAAGAATCAAATTTTGAAACGCTAGGTAAATTAAATGAAATAAATTTCAGTTAATTCCAAAAATTCAGCAGTTCTTTAAAAATGCTGTCTAAAACAGCTTTATTTTACTTATGGTTCAATTTTTCAAACCTTCTGAAATCTTTCTTTTTGCACTTTAGTATAAATAACATAAAAGTTGTTTATACTTAATCTTTTTTAAGCACTAAAGTGATAATATTTTCATAAACAAAACAAATATTTTAATTTGTGAAACCATTTTATTAATAAAAAACAATTCATGTTTCGACTAACACTAGTCAAAAACCTTTTTTTTTTTCATTATTTTTACTTCCAACAAGACTGCAAGCAACCACTATTTGTGTTGGGAGTTACTGGAAGAGAAAAGATGAAGTTTCTTTTAAGTCGTCTGTCAAGATAACAATTGACAGACGACTTAAAAGATTGCAACTTATCAGGAAAAAAAGATGAAGGAAGGTAACTATAAAGAACTGATGTTTGAGGAAAAAAAACTACTAATAAAAATTTTTAGAGCACTTAGGAACAGTAACAGTAAAAGGATGAGACTTAATTGAATGACAAGTAACACAGGAATGAATTTTAGTAGCCCCAGAGACGCTAGATCTTTAGAGCAGTGCCTATTATAGTATTTATAGAAAAGAGAAAGAGAAGCAACATTAAAACGATGTAATATTTTTTGGAGGTTGGCTGCAAGAGCAGGTCTAACTATGTTTACAATGTGTTTTTGCACTTTTTATAAAAGAGAAAGAGCATCATTGGAAGATCCGTCTCAGATATGGCTACAGTATTCTATACAAAGATGGACTTGAGATTTATAAAGATAAAGAATAGAATCTAGAGTAAGAAAGTAGCAAGCACGGTAAAGCGATGCAACCTTATCAGATGCTAATTTTGCAATCAATTTGATATATAGCTTCCAAGAACGATTGGAAGTAAGAGTTAATCCTAGAAGATAAAAGGTAGATGACTCATTGAGTACATTACCATTCATAAATATAGGAAGATCTAGACTATTGTGATAATGATTAGCTGAAAAAAAATTGGGTTTTATTTGAGTTTGATGTAATTTTGAAGATGTTGACATAACACAATAAATAAAAACTAAAATAAATACAAAAACAAATTTAATAAAAATTAAATTTGTCACCTGAAACAAAAACATGGTGAAATTTATCTACCATACCAAAGTATTATCCCCCATACATTAAGATTAACTCAAATATTCCAACACAACCAAAAATCAAAGGATCCTTGTCTTATTTTAAACGATCATTTTTGGTAAAAATATCTGATTCAGTTAAAAAAAGACTGAATTCAATTGCAAAAAAATTTTGCCAAACTGAAAATATTAAATTAGTATTTATCTCACTGAAAATTTCTAAATTCTTTTCTTCTAAAGATCCTATTTTTTGTTATCTCAAATTTCTTTAATATGAAATGATCAACTTTTAAATTGATTCTATTGTATTTTTGTAATTATATTATTATTAGTTTATACAAAAATAACTACATTTTATTGTTTATTTTTTTAATACCGTTATATATATTTAACAATTTTAGATATTTAACTTTAACTAAACTAAAACAGCCTGCTTTGCTTCATTGACAAATTTATGATGTAAACTTTTTTTTTTGTTTTTTTTTTTGCTTTACTTATTAAACTACTTTCATTTTATGTAGTTAAAAATCTCTTTTTTGTAAATGTTTATAATAATAAAAAAATATATAACAGCTGTATTTAATTGAAAAAATTTTTTATTTCAACTGCACATAGTAACTTTTTTTTTTCACTTTAAATCTTTTTATTTATTTTCTTGTAAGTTTTTGCTGCAAATTTAATAAATGAATGAATTATTTAAAGGTAAATTTAAAATTTTCTATAATAGGATTCTTAAAAGTATATATGTTTAGTAAAATCTCATTTTAGTAATTTTTGTAGTATTTCATAAAACGATTGTCTTTGTATTAAGTATCAAGTTGAAATAGTAAAAAATTTGCGCACAAGTATTAATAAAATTATAAATAACTAATTTTTACAGTTTTTAAAATGACCAGAAATAAAAAAATACCTCATATTTCTGCTGATTAAAATCAGATATATAAAATTATTTAAAATTTTTCTATATAATTAAGAATACTTTCTCTTCCAACTGTACATTTATTTATTTTTTATTTAATCTTTTCATATATTTTTTTTTTGTAGCTTTTTCCCACTAATGAAAAACCATAGCAATAAATGAATTATTTTTAAATAAATTTAAAATTATCAATTGCGAGTTTACAAACTTTCTTTCTATTATTAAATTGTAACAGAATCATCAAATGTCAACCCATCTTAATGAAGGCAAATAGACAAACAACGATTTCATTTTTCAATAGTATCTGTAAAATTTTTTTGTTGTATTAAGTACTCAGTTTAAATTTTTTTAATATTGTATAAAATTTGTTTTGATATTAAAAAAAAATTCAACATTAAATTACTTGGATATTATCAAACTTCTTTATTTAATTGAATGAAAATCTGTACGCGCAAGGATAATTTTGAAACAAATTAACATTACCAGGTAATTTAAACATTAGTTATTTGTAAGTTTAAATTTAAAAAATGCATTGACTTTATTTAAAATCATATTTTAAAAAGAATAAGAGTTAGTTAATTTTTAAGTATTAAGTTGCTTTTGTGTGTTCAATCATGAAGAACTATTACTTAGATGAAAATTTAATCAAAGAAAAAAATTAAAATTTTGACCACCTGAAAAAAACAATTGACAGCAATTCCTATTTACGGGTACAAAAATTTAATTGGTACACAAAAATGTCCCCGATAATGCTAATGTCCCCATAAGTATTTGTTTTTTGGTAAAATTTGTTATGTCAGATATACACTTATAGTTATATATTTAAAGAACACATTAATAAACCAGACCAGTAAAATTTTAAAACTATTTTTTTTTTCTTTAAATGATAGACTGCCTGCCTAAACCAAACCCTCAGTCAATGTAGCAGCACTCCCTTGCAATTCAGGCTATAAAATAGTCAATGTAGCAACACTCCCTTGTAGCAGCAGGCTATAAGATAGTCAATGTAGCAACGCTCCGCGCATGTTTTAAAAATATATTTTAATAAAACAACAACAAAAACACCATAAATTAAAAAAAACTTTCTAGACATTATTATTGCAGTTTATTAAAAAAACAATAAAATTTAATGTACTTCCGCATTAATTTAACTGCTTTGACATTTCAACAACAATAAAATACAGCTTAAGAGTCGAGGTAGCAAAATTGTAGTCAAAAGAGACTTTTTTTACCATAAAAGTCTCTTTCGACTACAATATTATATATATATATATATATATATATATATATATATATATATATATATATATATATATATATATATATATATATATATATATATATATATATATATATATATATATATATATATATATATATATATATATATATATATATATATATATATATATATGTTTTGAATGTCTATAATTGGCCACAGGCTTATTGAAGAAATTTAAAACATATAAAACCATAACAAAATTGTGTAATTAGATTAGCTACTAAAAATACTCTTTGACTATTTTGAGGTTTTAAGGTTGAATATGCACCATGCATGCTCGTAAGATAAATATAAAGGCAAAAAATAATTTTTGTTTTCCTTTTTCATTTTTTTGAAATTAAAATTCTCTCATGTTATTACTAATCTTTTCATTTCTTCATTAACTATAAATTTCCATGTCAATAAGCCTTAATTGCCCCACTTCATTCCTTATGAAGAATGTTCTCAGTGCCCACACAGCCCCTAACATTAATATTATTGATTGTATCCTATGAAAGAACAATGTTAAACTAAATTTAAAAAAACTTACTCTATAGTAAGTGGACTTGGCAATGAATTATTTGTTCTCCAGTAAACCATATCAATACAGTATTTTAGTAAAACAGTAAATAAAAATGTTGTATAGTTATACACATCTTCAGGAAGATTTACCAAAGGATCCTAAATAGTGAATAGTAATCTAATTTATAATAAATTTGTTTTCTGCTAAATTTTATGTTTTTTAATACAAAATTACAACATTTCTTCAAAATTATATTAGCTTTCTAAAATAGACATTTTAAATCAAAAAATTATAGTTTATGAAAATCAAATATCATAGCAACTAATGGTTAAAAAAAACTGTTAGTTCATGTCAATTATTTATTAAAGTAAAATTATTTATTAAGCAAAAATATTCTAATTTGACCTAAATTTACATTGATACAATTTAGATGGATACAATTTACATGGATACAAGTTCATACCAACATAATGTTAAACATTTTAATGTAATTTTGAACACAATGACATAACATTGAATAAATGAAAACTAAAATAAATATTAAAAAAAATTAATACAAACTCAATTTGTCACCTGTAACAAAAACATGGGGAAATTTATCTATCATGCCAAAATATTATCAACCATACTTTGTTATATGAGTAAAAGAAAACTCTTTATGTTGAATACAAGTTAAAAAAAAATTTTATAAGACAACTCATAAAATAAATGGTAACAGCCAGAGTAACAAAACTTATCATGATCTGAAAAAAATTAAACCAAATCTTTTGGCCATGATATCATTTTTTCTAAGTTTCTTTTGGTCATGATATCATTTTTTCTAAGTTTCTTCATAATAAAGTTAGTGCATGTTCAAAAACATAGACTAATATAATTTCAAAACCAATGACAAACAAGCTAAAAAAATTTAAAAAATGCAGTTCTTTTCAGAACCAGTAAAACTTTACAATCAAATAAATTGAACTTGTAAATTCACATTAAAGACACTCCAATAAACATTTTCATATACTTACCTGGGTATAAAACTAAATCCAAACCTAAATAATAATCTACTACTCAACTTTATTTAAAAAAAGACATAAGGTAGATTGCAATTGCTAGAACAACTCCACCCCTCTGTCATTCTGAATTAAATTCTACCTAAAAATCTAAACCAATAATCATACAATAATTTAACTTATTACAGCTTATCTTTGTTATCAACAATCCAATTAAATATCAACAAACTAGATGATAATCCAATCAAATATCAACAAATTAAATAATAATCCAAACAAACATCAACAAATTAGATGGTCAACTAAAAAACTAACTAAAAAACAAAAAACTAATTTCATATTGTCTTATATAGAAAATGCAATGGAAAATGGTTTTGTTATAAAAAAAAGCAATTGTATAGATTTGTAAGCGATCGGATAGATTGTATTGTAAAAAAATTTTGTACTTTAATTAAAATTTTGACACTTGTTTTAAGTTAACTAGAACCCAGAAATTCATTTTTTACAGTTGCCAAAAGTAAATCTAGAATTCAGAAGGAAAATGAAAAGCTAAACTGTAACTGATTGCTTGAAAATATGACTTTATTAAAATATTTTGAGACTGAAAAACATAATTTCTATTTAAATAAATACCTAATTTGCTAGTTTTGTTGTAATTTTATATATTTTTATTATATATCACTCTAATTAATTTGTTCAATATATTTATATGAGTTTATAATATACATAAATAAGTCCTTGTATACTAAGTCTCTAAACACCAAGATATATTCTTAAGAATAAAAAAATGTAGTACTTGAAATAAAAGCATGACCTGGATTTGTCGAAGATATTTTGATGTTCCAAAAACTATTCTCGCTAATTAAGTTTGACTAAATAAAAGGCTGGATAATCAAGTTTTTGATAATATTTTTTTTAATATGTTCTAATGACTAAACTTATGCATTTCATAACAAATATATTCATACATTCTTTATATATGGACACATAACAACATAATAATAATAAAAAAAAAACAAAGCTAAAAAAAAGCATGTATAAGACAAGTTATTTGATATTTTTACGAGAAAATACCTTTGCATAAATTTGCATAATTTAAAGTACCTTTGCATCTTCATTAGTATTTTCTTTATGTTTATTACAAGCAGGATCATTAGTCCAAGCTTCTTTGTCACCACAATCACAATATCCTCCTCTCCCTTGAGATGCAAACAACTAAACAAAAAATCATTTTTTTAAAACTTTTTTAATTTTTTTTTAAATCTCTTATGAAAACTCTGGAGAATGGTTTTTAAAAACCTTTAGAAAACATTGAGGTACCTACGGAGGTACATACGGAGGTACCTACGGAGGTACCTACGGAGGTACCTACGGAGGTACCTACGGAGGTACCTACGGAGGTACCTACGGAGGTACCTACGGAGGTACCTACGGAGGTACCTACGGAGGTACCTACGGAGGTACCTACGGAGGTACCCACGGAGGTACCTACGGAGGTACCTACGGAGGTACCTATTTAGAGGTACCTACGGATATTGACGCTATTTGACTATCTAACTAATGCAATATGATGTTATCTTACTAAAAAAAAATTTATACAAATGATTTAAGTGTTTTATTTTTTCATATTCAGTAATATTTTATTCACAAAGAAAAAGAGAAATATATATATATATATATATATATATATATATATATATATATATATATATATATATATATATATATATATATATATATATATATATATATATATATATATATACTAGGATTAACTCTTACTTCTGATCTTTCTTGGAAACCTTATATCAAATCCGTTGCAAAATTAGCATCTGTATATATATATATATATATATATATATATATAAATATATATATATATATATATATATATATATATATATATATATATATATATATATATATATAAATATATATATATATATATATATATATATAAATATATATACATATATATATATATATATATATATATATAAATATATATACATATATATATATATATATATATATATATATATATATATATATATATATATATATATATATATATATATATATATATATATATGTATGTATATATATATGTATGTATATATATATATATATGTATACATATATATATATATATATATATATATATATATATATATATATATATATATATATATATATTATGCGGTAGTGGTGTAGTGGTAGAGCGCTCGCTTCATAAACGAGTGGTTCCGAGTTCGATCTCCACCACGTCCCTGGTAGTACCGCGCTCAACTCGTTTCTCCGCGCAGCGGCCTTGCTCGTCAAGGTTCGTGTTTCGGAGTTATAGAGTTGAGAGAGGGTTATAACCACAAATAAGTAGCCTCCTCGTCTGTAGTGGCCTTCTCGGCCTTGAGGAGGTGAATTAAAATTAAAAAAAAAATATATATATATATATATATATATATATATACAGTCACGGACAAAATTAAGTAACATTGTTGATAAAATTGATACTCTAACTATACAAACAAAATTATTTACGTCAAGATCTACATAACTGCAATAATTTTATGTTTTTTTTTAAATTTGATTCCTAAGAAAAATAAATACATTTATAACTTTTTATAATTCCTTGCAAAAGTTAATCTATTTAACAAAATTAGCTATCTCACAAATTTTTTTTCAAAAATAAATGTGACAAAAGTAAGAAACATTTGAGTTTTTATTATGAAATATAATGTTTTGTCAATAGCTATTTATTAAAAATGATTATTATTAAAGAGATTTTGTTAAATTTATTAAAAATAAGCATTTTAAACTTTATTTTTTCGGAATTTATTTTTAGAAAAAGTAAAACTAACAATAATAATGGTTCATCATCAAAATTATTCATTGGACATCCGATCTCGGGTCATTTGTGATCGAAAAAAGGGCCTAACCTACAAGCAATGTGCAGAAAAATATCAAATATCGATAAGTGGTGTTAGAAAGATGTGTATAAAATTTGAAACAACTGGTTCTGTTAAAAATCAGAAAAGATTTGGTCGCCCCCCTAAGACTTCAACAAAAACTGATATGCTAATTGCGCGAATAGCAAAACAAAATTCAACAATAATCTCAAGACAGATTGTTGAAAATCTTAAATTAAATGTTTTCAGTCGAACTGTACAGAGAAGACTTAATTCAAGTGGTTCAATAAACCGTCTTCAAAAAAGTAAACCCTTCATTAGTGGTATAAACAAAAAAAAACGCTTAGCATTTGCAAAACTGCATATTAACAAGGATGAGGCATTTTGGAATTCAGTGTTATGGTCTGATGAAAGTAAATTTCAAATATTTGGCTTTAAAAAACGACAAAGAGTTTGGCGCAGACCTTGTGATGCACTCTTAGATAGAAATCTTAGAAAAACTGTCAAGCATGGAGGTGGCTCAATTATGGTTTGGTTCAAATGGTGTGGGAAGAATGGTGAATGTTAAAGGTATAATGACAGGACAATTGTATGTTGATTTGTTTTCCAAACATTTATGTCAATCCGCTAAAAAATTGAATTCAGATGGCAAGTTCTTTTTTCAACAAGACAATGATCCCAAACACACCAGCAAAGTGGCACAACATTTCCTCAAAAAAAGTAACAAAAAAAGTTAACATCCTTAAATGGCCACCACAAAACCCGGACCTTAACCCCATTGAAAATCTATGGGCAATTTTAAAATCTAAAATACCTCCTTCAAAACGAACAAATAAAAAAGAATATATATATATATATTATATATATATATATATATATATATATATATATATATATATATATATATATATATATATATATATATATATATATATATATATATATATATATATATATATATATATATATATGAATATGAATATGAATATGAATATGAATATGTATATGTATATGTATATGTATATGTATATATATATATATATATATATATATATAATATATATATATATGAATATGAATATGAATATGAATATGAATATGTATATGTATATGTATATGTATATGTATATGTATATGTGTATATATATATATATATATATATATATATATATATATATATATATATATATATATATATGTATATGAATATGAATATGAATATGAATATGAATATGTATATGTATATGTATATGTATATGTATATGTATATGTATATATATATATATATATATATATATATATATATATATATATATGAATATGAATATGAATATGAATATGAATATGTATATGTATATGTATATGTATATGTATATGTATATATATATATATATATATATATATATATATATATATATATATATATATATATATATATATATATATATATATATATATATATATATATATATATATATATATATATATATATGAATATGAATATGAATATGAATATGAATATGTATATGTATATGTATATGTATATGTATATATATATATATATATATATATATATATATATATATATATATATATTATATATATATATATATATATATATATATATATATTAGGGTTGTCCAGGATATAGTATGAAGTTTCAAAACATTGTGAAGTGAAGTTTTTCCCATTATACTATTAATACTGTCTAAAAATAATTTTTACAAATTTTTGATAGGTAATCCTGAGGTCCCTCGAGGCCTCTGAATATATTCCCCATTTTTTGCATAAATTGCATTTTTTAAATCGCAATAATCAAAGAATCATTTTTAAAAAGTTTTGATTGGTTTTCAGTTGCTCTTAGTTGTATTATTTGAGTATACTGATACTGTTTAGTGAAAGAATAAATTTAATTTTATCAATGAATATATTGGAAAAATGTTGACTCGAAGTAGTAAAAAGCGCCATTTATCACCACGGCGAATTACTGAAGGCAAAAACTCTGAAGAACAAAAAGAGAATCCACTTTGTTAAGGTACTTCTAGCTCACATAAAGAAAACTCCAAACAGACCCGTGACAAGGAAGTTAACTGATTTCTGGTTAATTGGTCATCCTTCAACATCAAGTAATGGGCCAAAATTGCCTGATTGTAGGCAAATTATGAAATATGTCTTATTTCTAAGAAACGATCCAGAAAATATTAAAAATAAAGTGAAGAATGAGGATATTGCTTATTTTGTGGTTGATGCAGCCCTTGTTGTTTGGAATATGGCATGCATAAAAACTAAATACAGACAGAATTGCATGTTTGATGTTATGAAACTTTGAAATGAATGGCAGAGTTTTATGAAAAGTAAAGGAAGAACAACTGACCCTGGTAGCAAGAGAGCAAGTTTTATTGAGCGATTGGAGTCTATTTTTAACATTGGTGCACCTGACGCCATAGATGAAACAAAGATTTTTGTCAGAAAGAAAAAAACAAGATGATATCGACTTTTATTTGGACCAACAGCAGGAAAGAAGAGCATGTATGGATGGACATGATAAAATTTTTGAAACTAAAGTCAAAATGAAACTTACAAGACAAGCACATGTAGCAAGATTACAGAAAGAAAACAGTGCAGGTTGGATGTTTTAAGAAAAGAACAGGACGAAGGAGTTGCTGCTTTGCTAGAATATGATTCTGAGACACAATTAAATGAAGATGACCGAACTGAAATTGATCCTAATTTTGAAACAACTCTACAACAAGAAGCAACAAAAATAGATCAAATCAAATATGTAACTCTTAAGCTACCTTGGAAAATAATACAGTGTGACCAGATAACCAGTGGTGCTGATCGCCTCAAGTTGTTAGACAATCAAACGACAATTATTGTATCAGTGGAATTCAGACAATCAAATGATAATTATTGAACAGTGGAATTCAGACCAAGTTTTTAGAGTTGCAGAACAATATGTTTGTACAGTTAAAGTTAATCTTGGATTTTGCTACAATCATTACAACTGATATTGAGCAAAGGTCATGGTTGTTACAGGGTGTCGAGCAGCATAGAAAGTTATATTCCAATTTTGATAAAAAAAAAACACTAAATTTGTGAAACTATAGTGTAGTACTAAGTACTATATGAGTGTGTTGAGTATAAGAGATTAAACACTTTTCAAGTAAATTACTAATTTTTCATGTAAAGACTGTAACGTCCTTCACTTTTTGTTATATTTGGTCACAAAATGACTAAAACATTTTATTTTTTTTAAGTTGAAATGTTAAATGTAACATTAACTTAATTTTTTTTGTAGATCTGATTACCTTTATATTAAACATGATTTTGTTTAAATTATCTTGTTATATTTATAGAATTATAACATTTTGTAATGTAAAAGATTTTAATTTTTGCTATAAAACTGGGGTTCAAATTTGGAGGCCTTGAGTGACCTCAGGATCACTTATCAAAAATCTGTAAAAATTATTTTTAGACATGTTATTGATAGTATAATGGGAAAAACTTTACTTTACAACGTTTTGACACTTCATACTAATCCTGGGTAACCCTAATATATATATATAAATATATACAACCGTCGGAATTAGGGTTGGCATTCGGCAATGTCGATCTAACTGCCAACCTAGAAGTGTTTGAGGTCGGCAAAAAACTGCATACCTCGTTTGGATGTTTTATGGTAACACCTTTGTATCAAATTTTTTTTGCTGATCTCTAAAAGATTGAGGTCAGCAAATTATTGCCGACCTTAATTTTTTTAATTCTGAGGGTTGCATATATATATATATATATATATATATATATATATATATATATATTATATATATATATATATATATATATATATATATATATATATATGCAATAGATAATAACACAAAAATATCTTTTTCTTCAAAATTATTTATTATAATTAAATATTAGATTTTCCCCTCAACTGTTGTCAACAGTCTTTCCTCTTCTTTATTTTAAAAACTAAATGTTGCTTCAACAGCCATGTCTTCATCAGCACTCTCTATTTCATCAAGAATTTGATTTGTAATCAATGTTGTTGCTGTTGACATTTATGCGGTACCTATCTTAATTGAATCATAGCAAAAGAGAAAAACAAATATTTTGGCTATTATTTATTATTTATAAAAGTACACATTTATGTTTAATGAGTTTGATTAAAAAAGCAGCGGATAAACTTTTTGTTTTAAATATATTTTGATGTTAATATATATTTATATTCCGCTGACCTATAGCAGTCAGCATCATCAGGGTGAATAAAAAATGTTACAAAAATTGTTACAAAACTTGTTACAAAACTACAACAATCAAACTGTCAAAAAAGAAGACATTACAGGTGTAAAATAAAAATAGTTTTTATAAAATACTATAATGGCATCAGTTACACTTACAGTCACTACAATTATACTGACGCCATTATATCATAAAAATAAGAATACATAAACAAATAAATATATTACTATATAAGTAATTATAATTAACATTAAAAAAAATTAAAATTTTTTAATTCTCCTAACCAACACAACAAAATAAGTTTACTGAAAGACGTAATTCATTTTGTTAACAAAAAAGAACTTTAGTAAATGTATGTAGTTTTAACTTAAGTTATACAAATTTAAAATCAAAATGTGTTTTAACTAAACATCTTTAAAACTTTCCATATAAAAACGTAACATTTAATATTCTTTCGCATATATTATTAAAAAACTTTTCAACTAAATTTTAGAAAAAACAAAACTTTATTATGTTTTTGTTAACTTAGGTTACCTGAAAATTGCAAAAGTTCTTTTGTTATTTTCTTAAAATATATATTTTATAAAGCATAAAATCTGACCAACAACAATTTAAAATATTAGCTCCATTTTCACACTAAATTAATTCCGATTATGCAAATAAATTCATGGTTAAAATAACATTTTACAATGATACTTTTTTCATCATGCAACAATGAGAAAAACCGCTTCTTTTGGAAGCATAAAAATGATTAATTTTAGTACTAAAGGTATATTTAATTAAACTTTCAAGTGTCTAAACCAATATTTATTTGCTAAGAGTTGATGAAAAGAGAATATATTGAATTAATTTGCTAAAAGTTGACAAAAATATATATTGAATTAAAAATCTAAGAATTTAATTTTTTTTTTTAACAAATTAACTTATGAACTAAAAACCACAAGTATATATATATATATATATATATATATATATATATATATATATATATATATATATATATATATATATATATATATATATATATTATATATATATATATATATATATATATATATATATATATGTATATATCTATATATATATATATATATATATATATATATATATATATATATATATATATATATATTATATATATATATATATATATATATATATATATATATGTATGTATATATATTATATATATATATATATATATATATATATATATATACATATATATATATATATATATATATATATATATATATATACATATATATATTGGTTTATTTGAAAATTTCAAATCCATATTTTTTTGGCCCACCCCAGATTTTTTTTGATTTCAGATTTTATTTAAAAATAAACATAATCATATTGTTAAGCCTTGATAAAACATTTATATGCTTAAAAAAAATCTATATTTTTTTTAAAAAAATCTATATATATATTTTAAAAATTTAAAATTTTAAAAATATGTATTTAAAATTTAAGCAATAAAAGAAAATTTCATACAAATTTATATTTTGCAATGAATACATGAATTCATGATGTCATTGTATAGCAAAATGAAAACTTATTTAGTACTAAAAGGAACGTAAATTTAACAAAAAATGTTTATTGAAATACTTAGCAAAAAAGTGCTTGAAAGTGTAACATCACTCTATCAAACTCTTTTATTTAAATACTGTAAAAAATAATAATGCTGAAAAAAAGAAAGAGAAAGCACCTTACAATGGCAGCATTTAGTTTTACTAAAAAGGTAATGCATAGAGGTGAAGAGATCAAATTATTGTTGGAAGCTGTTAAAAGTTTTGTTAAATGCAATTATTGTAAAAAATTTCAAAAGCCAACAAAGACTTGAAAAGGAAAAACAAGAAAATGTGGGTGTTCATAACGCACAAAAAGTATTGAAATAAGCATATCTTATTAGAAATTTGTTTAAGCGTATTTTTGAGTTTCTTAGAGCTTTTTGCATAAGCATACCGAAGCCTGTTTCAAAAATTTCTTATGCTTATAAAAAAAAACAAATAATCAGTTTGTTTCTAAAGTCCATAAAACAAAAATTTGGTTTTATAAAATCCATAAAAAAAAAGTCACCTTATACTTATGTTTTGTGTGTACACTTTGATGAAAACAATCATGACAAAACACACATGTTGGATCAGCAGCACAATCTCTGAAAAAATTAAACAAACTTAAATTTTTTGAATTCAATTTTCAAAAATATATTTTAAATCAAAAAAAGTAATATGTATGTAAAAGGAATATAACATGAATTGAATAAAACTTCATTAAAAATAACAGTTCTATATTTAAAAATTATGAAAATTTGTTTATTTTTATAACATTTTAAAATATATTTACATACATAAAGTATACAAAAGACATGGTTAAATCAATGGTTTTAAGAAGTGTGGTTTAAATCAATGGTTTTAAAAAGTGTGGTTTAAATCAATGGTTTTAAGAAGTGTAGTTTAAAAAAAATGCAGCAAAATATTTATTAAAAAGCACATACTTGCCACCTAATGATATTTTAACAAAAAATATTTTCTTATAACTAAATGTTATTTTATAAATTATACATCTTTATATATATATATATATATATATATATATATATATATATATATATATATATATATATATATATATATATATATATTATATATATATATATATTAACCCTCGGAATTAGGGTCGGCATTTGGCAATGCCGACCTAACTGCTGACCTGAAAGTGTTTTATGTTGGAAAAAAATTGCCAACCTCGTTTCTATGTTTTATGGTTAGACCATTGTATCAAATAATTTTTGTCGACCTGATGCCGACCTCAAAAAGATTAAGGTCGGCAAATAATTGCCAACCTCGTTTTTTTCTAATTCCGAGGGTTGTGTATATATATATATATATATATATATATATATATATATATATATATATATATATATATATATATATAATAGTAATAATAATAATAATAATATTATTATTATTATTATATTATTATTATTATATATAATAATAATAATTATTATTATAATATTATTATTATTATAAAATTATTATTATTATTATGTAATAATAATAATAATAATTATATTATTATTATAATTATTATTATATAATTATATATATAATCTTGAATTAAAAAAACATACTTGCAAGTATATGTTGGATCACCAACTTTAAATAATCGCCCACAAAAATTTGGTGGTTTATTAATCTTTCTCAACTCTTCAAAACCTTTAGAGGGATCTTTTCCACAAATGAAATACTCAAAAGGCTCAATAATCCAGCACTTAAATTTATGCTCATCAATTACAAACTTTGAAACATTATTTGCAGTTGTTATTTCTTTCATTAGCTTGGGAGCATGTTGAGACAAATGAGAATATATTTTTGCCTCAAGTTGAGACTCTTTAGTATTGTATGAGTATGGTGGGTTTTTAACAGAAAAACATTCTTTTGGAAAACATGCAAGCCATTCATTGTTTAAGTGCTCAGGTACATTCATAATAAAATGTGAAAATCTGGCTTTTTTCATAGCAATCTGAATATAACAATATACAATCATAAATTAAGTAGCCAAAGAGAAAAAAAATCCAAAAATAAAATTACAATTTTCTTTTCAGCGCAGTAATAATGTCATTCAACACAGTAATGCAAAATAGTAACAGAGTACACTGCGTAGCAGTATAAATGCTGCAATATGATAAAGTGTAGTGGTTCAACAGTGCATTAATACTACACAGTAATTAAACTGCAATGACAGGAATGCTATGTTACAGTATATTGCAGCACTGTGTTTGCTGTGTAATATAGTGTAGTGTTATAGTAGGTAACACAGTGTAATATAGTGTAATGCTGCAAAACAACTAAAATACAGTGCACAAATGTAAAACAACTTAAGACATTTAAAAATAATAAATCATACACTTATATGACACATTTTAATATTAAAACTAAATAATAACAAAGTTGCTAGATCAATTAACTTTAAAACATAATTTCATTAAACTTGATTTGATTTAAATAAATTTAAAACCAATAATAAAAAATAACTAAAAAAATTAATTTAAAAAAATATGTTTCTCAAAAACTATACGCATGAAGATAATAACAGTAAAAATAATTGTCTATTATTATCGTTTATTATATTGAAACAAACTGACACACAGTTTAAAAATTTTATTAGTTGCTATTTAGTTCTACTTTTACACTTTTAAGCAATAGTATAGACTCTTTTAAATTACTAATCTCTTGTTTAAACTCGCTTTTTTCTACATTAAGTTGTAAAATTTGCTCTTGAAGAGAAACCAGCTTATTGTTTAGTACTTCTTCTTTTCGCTTTTCGCTCCTTTTACTGTACACGACTTGCAAAATAACGCAAATTGCTGCTAATGAGAATATAACAAACTCCCCAACCATTTCTGCTCCCAGGTTAACGGCAGCATCTTCATTAAGAGGTTTTACTTCAACCTTATTTTTCCAACCAAACCCTGCCATTCGAACTCTCTGCTCCATAATATGAAAAGCTAAACAATTTAAAAAGTATTAAATTAAAAACAACTCTCAAGTTATGCAACAACCTATTTTTTATGTAGAATACAAGTTTAGCCTAGTGAGTGACAAGTTTAGTTTAGTGAGTGAAATGTAAATATTTCACGACATTCATGAGCTGAGGGTTTGTACAGGGTACATAAGTATAACATTTATTATAACCCAAAAAAATTTTAATAGAAAAAAAAATTAATTTATTCATAATTTTACTTGATTATAAATCAAATCATGCTTAATCTATTTTATTTGGATTTACAGAATGCTTAAGTTCAGACCCCTCAGCAATAACAACATAACAAAATCTCATTTTTCTTTTTATTAATTTTTCAAACATGGAATTACAACTAGTACTAGATTTTGACATTGCAAACTTAAGATTTTGAAATCTAATATAGGCAATTCTCAAATATATATCTATCTATATATATATATATATATATATATAATATATATATATATATATATATATATATATATATATATATATATATATATATATATATATATATATATATATATATATATATATATATATATATATATATATATATATATATATATATCATATATATATATATATATATATATATATATATATATATATATTATATATATATATATATATATATATATTATAATTCAGTAAATACCCTTTTGCTGATAATAATATAAATATAAATATATATATATATATATATATATATATATATATCTCATATATATATCTCATATATATATATATATATATATATATATATATATATATATATATATATATATATATATATATATATATATATATATATATATATATATTATAATTCAGTAAATACCCTTTTGCTGATAATAATATAAATATATATATATATATATATATATATATATATATATATATATATATATATATATATATATATGTATATATATATATATATATATATATATATATATATATATCTCAATATATATATATATCTCAATACATATATATATATCTCATATATATATATATATATATATATATATATATATATATATATATATATATATATATATATATATATATATATATATATATATATATATATATATATATATATATATACTTTATAATTCAGTAAATACCTTTTTTCTGATGTCACGCACATAGCAAAAACAATGAAAAGTTTTGTTTGTGAGCAAAATAGAATGTATTTTTTAAAAATATTTTTTAGTTATGAAAAAAAAGTATTGAAGTAACAAAATGAAAAAAAAAATTATGATATTGTAGTAATATACCTAAAAAAAATTTTAAAAAGTTTGGTCACAAACAAGTAACGTAATTTTAATGTTAATGTTACATATGCGATATTACACAGATAATATATTCAAAAGAACAGAAAATAAATAGTTCATGCGGATTGGAACAAAACCTTAAATATTAAATGGTAAAAAATATTTTGGGTATATAAATGTAATTTTAATATAATTTACTTTTTTAAAAATTATTCACAATTTTCTTTATTAAACTCAATAAGAAAACAACTACATAGTCGTATTTTGAAAGTTATTTTCAGTTTGACTTAGCTTGAAAAGATGAAATTAAATGATTTTATAAATAATTGATTTTAAGGTCTTTGTAAATTCTAATAGTTAGCTGTTTTAAGATTAGGTTAATATATAATGAAGTCAAAAATATATGGAGCTGAGAGTTTGAAAAACTTTAGAGAAAAATGAAAAGCTGACAAAAACTACTGCACTTAGAAAACAGAAGGATAAAAAATCAAAGAAAATTGAAAGTTGCAAAAATGAACAGCACAGAAAAAGATTCATAAAAGGAAAAAAAACAAATACTAAAAAAAATTAGTAGACAAAAAATTAATGACCAATTAAATCTTCAAGTTTATGAATAGAAAAAGTTAGTAATTGATTTTTATTAAAAAACAGATATTGCCTTAACAATACTTATTCTAAAAAATAAAATAACAGTGTGGGAAAATAGAAAGAAAAAAAAGCTGAGAAAATATTTTTTGATGTTATTAAGAGAGACTCACTCTATTTTTCAATCAACCTATGGAGAGATAATATCACTCTCTGCATTTTGTAAGCTGAGGCCTAAAAATACACTTTTTTTTAGAAAAAACACCTGCAGACCATTTTAAGTACAAACTGTAACTGCTATAGTATCTGTCTGATATAAAATAATATTATTCTTAATAATATGTTTATTGCACACAATAAAAAAAAATTTCCCTGTGTTTTTTTGACTTCTAACCAAGGTTTCTTGTTGTCTATTTTACTGATGATTTTATCATTGCTAATATAGAGAATATTTGCAGCTGTGATTAATGGTTTAAGAACATTGAAAAAATCCTTAGTGGTTTGTACCCACACTTTCTCACTTTTGCTCATATATTTCATTTGAATGAGAAGTTTTGCTCTTTGTCCAACACCATCTTCAACAATCCATGGGAAGTTGAAAAATATTTCTACTCAAATTTTTTTATTATATTGCAAAGATAATTGGTTGAGTAATTTTATCATAAACTTATTTCTTAATTCTGATGATAGGCCATTGGTGAAAGGAGTTTCAGTCATTACTACAGCTTTATGACATGAGTATCTCATATAATTTTCAAATAAAGCAGTAAACACAATTCTTTCCCTTGTCTCTAGTGTCTGAACAGATAAGATATGTTTTGCAGTTAGTTGTTGGAAACAGCACCAGTTAACAATTGAACAGTGTCTGGTACAAATATTGGAAAATATTTGTACAAGAGTTTCACATGCAACATGAGAATCACCCATAAGGAAAATATTTATTATCATTTTTTATCAAACTTTTTAAACCAGAACTTGAGCTGGATTATTACTGCCATATTGATTTATGTTTAATAAACTTATTTTTTTTTATTTGTAAGTCTTTTGAAATTTTTTAAAGATATATTAAATTTTTATTATTTTTCATTTTTAAAACTTTTCTTGAATTTTAGAGCAATCAAAAAAATATTACCATTGCATAAAGCTAAATCTGCTTTAGTAGATATGAGTAACCCTTATTTGATGGTTTAAGCTCAAAATTTCCTTTTATTTTTTTTTTTAAACACAAGAAGTTTATCTTTAATTTTTATTATTTATAAATTTATATTTGTAAATTTTTATTTTTTCTTTATGTTTTGTTTTAGTCTTTTAATGCTTTAAATTTTATAGACAATCAATAAGTATATGTTTTTATTTTGTTTTGTTTTTGTTTTTTTGTGGTTGCTGTTTGTTTGTTTTTTTAACAGAAAGCATAAACTACAATTTAAGTGAAGATCGGTAAAAGTATTTACTTACCTTGAGCAGGTAATGCAACAGTTTTGGCAAACCTGGGGTTCTCTTTAACTGTACTTTTTATAGCATTTGCCAACGGTTTAGAAAGTTGTTTAACAACAAGAGTACCAAGTTTAAGTAAAGGAAGTGGAGACATGAATTTTTATGTTACCTCAAAAATGTTAGTTTTAATGAAAAAACCATTTAAAGAATAGTGTTAAACCTAAAAGCACATGTATTCTTTTTTAACTTCTAAATCAAAATATATTAAAACTTCCAGGAAGTAACAAATGCAGTAAAGGAAATATACTTGAAAAATTGCGCATCAATATATCTATAGTCTTAACACATGTTTAAAAATTAAAATATAATAATAAATTTTATCTTCAAGCTCTCAATGTGATTAATTTTTTACAAGAATTAAGTCTTCGTAAGCTGACATTTTCATTAGAAAATCATATACCTAATCATGTAAATAAATAGCTTCACGCAGCCTCGATATGTCACGATATATTTATCTGTTACCTCGATACCACACGATATATCGAGACTTTTCTTAAAAATTTATAGAGGATCCTCGTATCTTTACTTACTTACATATACTTTTGAAGTTATGACCAGGCCCGAATGAACAAAAAATTTTTTCATTACATGAAAATTTTTATACAAATACATAAAGTTAAAAAGTTTGCAATTGAAGATCATGTTAAAATAATGATAGAAATTAAATAAAAATAAAAAACGCGGAAACTCAAAAAAGATCTTCTTTGAGTCTTAAGACTTAGAGGTCTTGTCATAAGAACCGCTTAAGTTTGACGCATCAATAAAAGTTGATGTAAACTCAAACAATGCGACTATCGAATAAATATTTGGTAATAAATATACTATTTGAAGTTTTTCTTAAATTAACTTAAAATATGGTAGGCTTTACTAGGACCATTATTCTTTGGGGTTTTTTTTTTTTTCATCTGCATCTTCTTTTCAGTATACCACAATTTTCTTGACGAATTTTTCATTTTTCTTCAAAATTATTATTTTTTTTAACCGTTGTACCTCTACAAATACATTATTGAATAAGTTAAGTCTATCTTTTTTTCTTTTTTTTTTTTTAAGTTTATCTTTTTTTCAGATTGCCTTCGTCGAATATTGTTTAATATATCACGATTGTCTCGTCGAATTTTTAATTAAATGATTTTTATTGTCATATGATGAATATTCTCCATACATACATACATACATACATACATACATACATACATACATACATACATACATACATACATACATACATACATACATACATACATACATACATACATACATACATACATACATACATACATACATACATACATACATACATACATACATACATACATACATACATACATACATACATACATACATACATGCATACATAAATACGTACATACATACATATACATGTATACGTATATACACATACATATATATACATAAATATACACACTCATACACAATATATTTTACAAAGTATATATCACTAAACTATATATAACATTATTCAAGAAAAATTTTACAGAATTGGTACATAAGAATGTAGTATATGTTTACAATATATAATAACTTTAACAATAAACTATTTTTCTGGAAAACACAAAATAAGAAAACTTAAAATCAAAATTTTAAAAAAACATAGATATTTTATCAATTGAAAATATAATACTTTTTAGTTTTAGTTTAAAGGAGGGATAAATTCATTTCTTAAAAGTATCAAAATTTTCGAAATTATTTTGTTCCAGAGAAAAACTCCACGAAACAAGATGCAAAACTTTCCAAAATTTCTATGGTAAGAAGGTTATCGAATAGCTTTATCATTTATTAAGATATAATTTTTCTTTTCTTTCAAAGTAAATAAATTTTGAAAAAGTTTAGGAGATAAACTGTTTTTACGTTTATACATAAAACAAAGAACATTGAAAATATTCAGCTCGTATATGCTAAAAACATTCATGTCACTTAAGAGAGGCTTGGGATGAGTAAAACAATCCCTAAAATTAATAAGGCGTGCAACATGTTTTTGTTGACAATATAGAGCTTCAAGTTTACTTTTATTTGTACTACCCCACGCAAAATTTGCATTATGCAATTGCATTATTGCATATTGGGGAGGTGGGAGTGCAGTGCTGGATTAAGGGGCCCCAAGATAGTTTTATGGACCTTTTTTATTTTTTATTTAGTCATTTTTTCATTCAATTTTTTTGAAACTATTTATTTAAAAAACTATTGGGGGGAGGCAAATGCCCATGCTACCCCTTCCCCCTCCCCCAGCCCCCGGTTGCTGCGGGCCTGATGACATTAAAAAAAATAAATGAACTCTAAAATAGAATATATGAAAACAAAATAAAAAAGCAAAACAAGAAAAAAAATTTTAGTTTGAGTGCTCTAAAAAAATTTATAGTTGAACTTTTATGTGGAAGACTGTCTATTTAGCAAATCTTAGGTAGGTACTTTATAATTCCTCTAGGTAATGTTGTTTAATGCCAACCATGCTGCAAAAAATATTGTTAAACCAGTCAGCATAAAAAAAACAAAATTGAAACCTAAATATTAAACGTAAGAAAAAGATATATCATCAAAAATGACAATTTTTTAGTTTATATGATATAAAAATTATTTGAGGTTTGGAAAATGTTTAATAATAGATATTTTATTCTCGAAATGGTGTTCTAAACATACTAACAAAAATTACAATAAGAAGACGTTTGAATACGATTAAAAGGTTTATAGAACGTAAATTTTAAAAACAAATGCCCGTAAATTATAAGAATAATTATAAGAAACTTTTTATTCCTTTCATTCACTGGGTTGATTTACAACAAGAAACTCAAAACTATTATTTTTAAAGAACACGCATATGAAAAGGTAGCGGGTTTTAGTTTAGTTAATCAAAGCCCTATGGGTTTTGGTTTTTAAATTTTCATGTTGGCATTTTTCAAAAGCAATACTTTTCAATTTGTTGTTTCAAAACAACCCACTACATGAAAGGGTAAGAGTAAAACCAAGGTTAAGCAGCTAAAATAATTTTGCACTTTTGCTTTAAAACAATCAATATTTATCTATATATAATATTATTATATTACCAATTAAATTTTTTATGCTTTAACTTTATTTGTTTGTTTTTATTGTTACATAATTTTATTTTACTTGTTTAGTTATTTGTTCAAATTCCAAGCACTAAGAATTTCTTAGTTGGAACCTCCAACTGAGAAATTCTTAGATGGAGCAACAAGTCAACCAGCTTGTGGTAGACTTAGTGCTCCAACAAGAATTTCTTCAATAATTGTTAAAAAAGTTCTTTCAAATGACGCACAGTACCTTAAAATCCTGAGAAAATGGTCAAAATTTATTTAATAAAAAGTTATTTTTTAGCTCGTAAATTTTGCACTTTTAAAACTATTTTTTCAGCTGCAAATACATTTTTAAATAAGGAGTAAAGTTCGCTGACAATTTAACGTGTTTTTAACATGAACTTTTTTCATTTGGAACAATCGAAGTTTTAAAATAAGGAGAAAACTAGTTTTATTATTTTATATCCTTAAATATGGAAAATACTTTAAAAGTATAAATTTCCTAAAAGTAAATTTAAAACGAGAAGCTAACTTTTTAAGTATTTTTTTAAAAATTAAAATTTAAATATAAAAAAAAAGAAGCTTAAAAAAATTTTCTCCAAATATCACCTTATTTTTTTGTATCAAGACTTAATTAACTGTATAAAAAAATGAAAATACAAAGTTTTAGATGCATATATTTATCCTTTCTTTAGTTAAGTTCAATGTATCATTGGCCTCAAATATGACTGAACTTTTATATAATTTCATGTTTATATGAAGTTATTCAACTGTTTCTAAATCAACACTTTTAACAATAAAGTTTCAACTCTATTTATACAAATTTTAAAGATGCAAAGTACAAAAATTGAAACCACTGCAAGTACACTTATTGCAAGTACACTGTTTGCAAGTACACTGATTGCAAGTACACTGATTACAAGTGTCATTAGAAAAGTCAGACAAATTGTCAAGTTGTTTCGACAATCTCCAGTTTAAAACAAGGTCCTCCAAGAAGAAAACAAGAAATATCTCGGAAAAGAGATTTTGCATGTCCACGATTGCAGAACAAGATGAAACATTCTGTTGATGGTTTAACAGTTTCTCAAAGATTCAATCAAAAAGAATGGAAAGACACTTCTTCACATTTGATTTGCAGTGATAATGAAGTAAACATTTTATACGGCATTGTTGCTTCTTGCATTGCAATGGAGAGTGCAGTTTTGAGATGTTTTGAACAGAGAAGACAGAGAGTCTAGTAAGCTTGTGCATATCTTTTTTTTATTGTTATTTAGATGCCCCAAGAAGACCTAACGGTCTTGTCACAGAGCACCGTGGATGTGCATTTAATCAGAAAGTTCACGCCTCCTTCCGTACCGTGACGCGAAAATATGTCCAAGGCTCGTTTTGAACCTGGATCTCCTGCTTATCAAGCATGCGCTCTAACCACTGCGCCACGGCTGCACATATACCTTTCCAATCAAGAATGTTTACCCGACATAAAAAAACTTAAACATTCGAAAATGCTTCTGAATTCTATACTTCAAAAGACTGTCAAAAACTTGCTGTCCAAGCTTTTCCCAACAAATCCGGATAACATAGAATTAATTCAAGTGTGTGGCTCAGCAAATCTTGATGAAAATCTACATTCACTTAAAGATGAACTTGAGGATCCAATTAAGCATTCGGGCAAAAATTAGCGCCGCAATTCAAACGGTAAATTCAAAGCTATTTCATAAGATATGTTGGTCTATGAAGCTATTGGAAAGAAAACTGCCAATCTTGAACATTTTTTTCTGATTTCACAGGAGATCATTTCGCCAAAAACTAATGTGACTGAAAAAAAATTTATTAATATTTAAAAAAAAAAAATTTATTAATATTTAAAAAAAAAAAATTTCATTAAAAAAAGACAAATTTTACTATTTGTTTAACAAATAGTACTTTTCCTTTAACAAATAGTACTTTTTTTATTATTATTATTTTTTAATATTCGTTTGTCAGTAATTATCCTAGTTTTTTGACTGAGCAGCCGTGGCGCAGTGGTTAGAGTTCTGGCTCAGAACCCAGAGGTGCGAAGTTCGACGCCAGCTCTAGCCCAATAAGCGACATTGGTAAGGAAGGAGGCGTGAACTTCCCGTTAAATACTCTCCCGCGGCGCTCTGTGATAAGACCGTAAGGGCTTCTGGGAGCACCTAAAATAACTACAAAAAAAAAAAAAAAAAAACTATTCTCCCTTCTTTGTCAAACTCTGACAATTTTTAACCAACTCCCTTGAAAATGATGTCGGATGTCGGTATTTTTTACCCCCTTTACCCTAAAATAAAATTATAAATGTGTATTTAAAATCAGTTTTTTTAAGGTAAAGGAAAGTCGGGCAACCTCAGACACTTAAGGAATAAGTAGTATA